TATATATTCCCTTTGGTGAGGCCCATGTACACAGGAACCATTTCTGTTGTTGAAAAGAGGTTTGAAATGAAGAAGTCATTGATATTTCAAAATTATATCATGTAATCTCCAACTTTGTTTTTGAAATCAAGGACATATTTTCCTACTACTGATTCTTCCTCTGTATTTTGATCAACAATAATTATCAATGCATTTTGATTGCATGTTTGATTAGTTTTAGATGGCAGGATTCTTTAATTTCTTCATTACTAGTTTTAGTGGTTGGTGCATAGATTTGAACAATAGTTGTATTAACCAGATTCCTTTTTGGTTTATACATATTATCCTACTACAGATAGGAGTGTACTTCAATATAGAGCTTGAAATGTTCTTTTTGTTGATAAATGTAATGCTGTTCCTCTTGCATTTGTCATTCCTGGCATAGTAAACCATATGATTATCTGGTTCAAAGTGATCAATACAAGTCCATATCAGCTCATAAGTTTCATTTAATTTTTGATGACTTCAAAATGTTCTAACTTTATACTTCATAATTCTGAGTTACTATTAATAGATGCTTACAACTGTCTCCTCTCATTTTGAGTTTTATGCCATCAGCAAATAAAACCGGCAAATGGCTTAACTCCTTCCATGTCATTCTGGTTGACTCTAGTTTCAGGAGGTAACTCTTCCTCAGCCATATTTTGAGTGGCTTCCAACTTGAGGGTCTCATCTTCTGGCACCATATCTGACAATGTTCTACTGCTTTTCGTGAGGATTTTGGTGGACAGCCTATTACTTCTTCACAGTCTGGAAGTTCAGCTGAAAACTGTTTAACTTGGGTGACACTGCTGGTATGTGAAATACCAGTGGCATAGCTTCAAGCATCACAGTGACATGCAAGCCATTGCAATATGACAAATGGTTGAGTGAGACTATGTATGTAAATTGCTTGTGTCTTTCCAAGGGACTGGATCGCTAATTACTAATGAAGATAAGATGCACAGGACCCACAATGATTAAGGTTATGTGTCATCTTGTCTTGGGCTGTGGTTGACCGTGGTTTGGAAATTATGTAATGACATAGTCACTCTTAATTTTTGTGGTCTTACATAATAGTCCTCCATTTTATGGGTTGCTGGTTAATTTGCAGAGAATAGTTGGCCTGACAGACCAGGGAAAATACACCAAAAAGGGCAGTTATCCTTTCCTGCTCTAAGTACCCAAGGGAACACTTCAGAGGAAGCAGCTGATGTGCTGGTTATGCAAGTCTTGCTGGAATAGCTTTAGGGTTTTAAATATAGTTATACAGTGAGTACCCCCCACACAAGTCAAATCGATAGGGCCATCAATGGAGGCCCCTCTCTATGGACACCCAAAGTAGCCCCGTGAACGCAAAACACAGCAGTGATTGAAGAAGCATTGCTGGATCCCTTGGAACAGCTCCCAGTTGCAAAACCCATAAGGGTGATTCTCAGGAAACAGAGGCAATGGGAGAAAATTTACATGAACGTAGTGGACTTTGATGGAGTAGAAACAAAGATGACACCATATAGTTTTAGAGTAGTGGTTCTCAACCTTCCTAATGCCGTGACCCTTTAATACAGTTCCTCATGTGGTGGTGACCCCCAACCATAAAATTATTTTTGTTGCTACTTCATTACTGTCATTCTGTGACTGCTTTGAATTGGGCGACCCCTGTGAAAGGGTCGCCCGACCCCCAAAGGGGTAGTGACCCACAGGTTGAGAACTGCTATTTTAGAGCCTAAAAAAATAGAACATCACCTCAACATACAGCTTATAGTGTCCCCACCAAAGTACAATTATGCAAGTGTGGTATTATATAATCTGGGGTCAACAATCTGAGACTTGAAAGGATTAAGACTGAAGGGGTGGAGTCTACTCTGTCAATCAGATCATAGCCAATGAGACCTCTGTGTGGGCATGGCCTTCTCTGAGAATTCCGGGAACTCAGATATTTCCTCCTTGGAGGCAGGAGACACCTCTCTCTCTACTCACTCCCTGGGACCTACCCTGGAGTCCTACCCTGATGCAACCAGACCTCTGAAGCTGGAGAAGCCACACAGAGACCCCTGCCAGTGTTGAGATACTTACAACACTACCGGATCCAAAGAATTTCTACCAACTGGCCTGTGATCATCCTGCATTCAGCATCATTGCATGTGTTTTGTGAGTCTGCAGAGGACTTTATAGCTTGGTATCAGACATATGGGCTAATGTTGGACTTATGGAATTTATCTAGACTGGTCCAGGATGTTTTCTCAATATTCAATTACCCCTCATATAAAAATCTCTCTTATACACATATGAGTTTCTATGGATTTGTTTCTCTAGTCTACCAGAACTACCAAAGAAGGAAGTTTGAAACATCCATTAGACCCTTGGTTGAAATTAATCCACTTCCAATGGAGAGCATTAATACTAAGGGGATACAGTACCACAAACAAACACAAAAAGAACATCTGTGAAGGAGAACATTAAGTTATTCAAATTTTGATGAAGGTGAAGCCGTGGTAGAAATGGCAGCATAGTAGTCAAATGAAAAGCAGAGTAGAGAGATTTTATACAAATAATCTTGGTAAGATTAGAGTCCCCATCTTTCACTCATCTAATATCTACACTTAGGTTGAATTTTGAGTTCTAGGTTGAAGAGATCATATGGGATATAAACAAATACTTCAGGTATAACATTAACTGGTATGCTGTATTTGAATATGTTTATTCTTGTAACTAGACAGGGGATGACCTAGAGTGGAGACATACTAGAGGGGGTACACACAATTAGGTAAGGCCTTTTGCAACAGTGGGATAGGATGTTACCTATGGAGGCAAGATTTTCTGTTAACACTTCTCTGATGGCATGTCAGAAATTTCAGCCACAGGAGCCACTCTGGTGATTTAAGATACCCTTTTCAGAATGTCTTCTAAGACGCGAGAATATATTAGTAACACAATGACCCCCAAACCTGCTCTGTAGTTCCTCCTGGGAATGAGGGGGCCTACAGTGACCCAATACTTCTCAACCGTATCATGCTAGATGTGCCTATCACTAGCGGAA